CGAACCCTCCACCTTCAGTCTCCTTAGCTGTAAAACAAGGACAGCAGCCCCCTCCTCAATGGGCTACAGTGAGGAACGCATTTTCTAATTCATGGAAAGACTCAGCATACGGTGGCCATCTATCCTGGAATAATCATGTTTACACCTTGTGGTTCCAGGATAAAAATTATTCATAACACCTCATTTTACTCTCAAAAGTGTCCTGCTTTGGAACAATAATTATTACGGTCATCTTAGCTTAGCACGTGGTCTGGGACACAGTCACTAAATGCCAGGTATTATTATTTGTCATGGCTATCCCTGCGTCTCAGTTTTTTTCATCTGTAAAATGGGCTGATCGTGGGCCCAGGGATAATGCCTGTAACATTCCTGGAAAATTGTGTGTTTGCTGTCACTAAGAGAGCCCTAACCTGACAAGACCTCACAAACCATAACTGGATGCTTTAAAGGGACCCCGAAGTCACCAGAGCTCTGGCAGAAGGGCACATTGTTTGGGTTTAGAAAGGCTTTATGAGTTCCAGGGAGCAATCTGTTTAGGAAATATGTAGCTCTGAAACAGGTTTAAACAAGATGTCTTGATCTTCTTAAAGAACAGGAAGAGTGATAATCCTGACAGCTAACCCTCACACTTCAGTGTTTCCCTAGCGTGTGACGTGCATCAGCTCGCTGAACGATCACACCACCTGGAGGAAGTGGGGGCTGTTGGTTCTCATGTTACAGATGAGGAAACTGAAGCACAGAGAGAAAATTAAAAAATAAAGTAAAAGCAGTAAATAAATAAACAAACCTCAAACACTAAAAGTAGGTGAGGACATTTGGCTTCCTCTTGGCCACGTTTCAAGTCCCTGGTGATGATTCTCTGGGACCACCAGGGGGAACTCTTTCCTAAACACCCAGCACCTGCACCCTCAGGGTTGTGGGCCCGTGAAATACTATCATTTAGGACCATTATCATTTCCTGAGTTCCTGCTAAGCACCATGCAGTGTGCTAAAGACCTCCACATATATAATCTCATTTAAATGCACAAGAGGCCCACAGGGACATCTAAGGAAACAGGATGAGAGAGGTACAGTGGCTGGCTCAGTGTCACACAGCAGGTAAGTGGCTCAGACCACACATGGTTGGGAGGATTCCGTCCAAACACTTGTAGAAGATGAGACACCTCTGAACACCACCAGCAGCTCCACCGGGGCTTCACGGAGTGCGTGGGCTGGGGTCGGTGGAAGGGTCCCAGGCTGAAGACCTACCTCTGAATGAACTTCTTCACCACTTCCATCCCCGCGTTGAGCTCATTCAAGGCAAGGATGTACTCCTGAGTAAACAGCCTCAGTCGCGGGCACTTCCCAAAGTCCTGCAGAGACAGCAGAAGACAGGTGTCAGGGACAGGAGACTGGAAGGGTCATAGCCCCAGCCCTGCCCAGATCTGTCGGTGTGGAAGGCAATGGGAGATGCCAACCAGCTAGGAGTGCGTGCATTTTTCACTTCAAGGAACCGGTCCCACTGCACCCTTGCTTACACACTTTGAGGGCTGCTCCTGGAGATGAGGAAGCGTCCTGGCACAGGAGGCCCAATGGCAGCCCACTAGCATGGCCCCCACTTGCCCTTTCAGTGGGGTGGAGGTCAGCGTACCACACAGACATGCTCAGGAAACAGTCAAACTCAGGCTTCCCTCCTGCATGATACGAGGGAGCCTGCAGATGTCCAGGGGGCCTCCAACAACCCCGAGGAAGCTAGAAACTCTTCTTATGCAGCCGACTGAGAGTTTCTGGGCCCCCCGCTGTCAGTGAGCTATTAGCTGAGGCCACTCAGCACAGCAAAGTCAGAAGGTGCCCCAGTGAGGCTCATCAATTTGAGGGGGGAGGTTGGGCTTTGTGGGGGTGTGGATGAATCAAATGTAGTGCTGGATGAACACAGCTCACTGTCTGCTTTTCCTCCTGAGTGAAGGAATGACAGGTGGGCAGGTGGATCACGAGCCAGACATGGCCCAGGGTGGGGACGGTGCCCAGGTGCAGGCTCCTCAGGGGCTTCCCCTGTGCTAGGCTGACCCCAGCTGTCCCGAGCCCCAGAACTGAATGGAAGGAGCATTTGATGACCATGTGTTTTAGGCTGCAGAAAAAGCTACCACACGAAAGCAAAAGTGTATGGAATACAAAAAGACAGAGGAGACAGAGGGGCAAACGGAGAAAACAAAGAGGACAAGGATGTGTGCAAGAGGGACGTGGAGTGTGGAAGGAGGCGTGCATGAGGTGCGTGTGGAAGGTGTGCGTGTGAGGCAAGTGTGGAAAGAGGGGTGCATGTGGAAGGAGGTGTATGTATGAGGCGAGTGTGGAAGGAGGTGTGCATGTGAGGTACGTGTGGAAGGAGGTGTGCATGTGAGGTGCGTGTGGAAGGAGGTGTGCGTGTGAGATGCGTGTGGAAGGAGGCATGTGTGAGGGGGTGAGTGTGGAAGGACGTGTGCGTGTGAGGTGCGTGTGGAAGGAGGTGTGCGTGTGAGGGGTGAGTGTGGAAGGAGGTGTGCGTATGAGGTGCGTGTGGAAGGAGGCATGTGTGAGGGGGTGAGTGTGGAAGGACATGTGCATGTGAGGTGAGTGTGGAAGGAGGCGTGTGTGAGGGGGTGAGTGTGGAAGGAGGTGTGTGTGTGAGGCGAGTGTGGAAGGAGGTGTGCGTGTGAGGCGAGTGTGGAAGGAGGCATGTGTGAGGGGGTGAGTGTGGAAGGAGGTGTGTGTGAGGCAAGTGTGGAAGGAGGGGTGCATGTGGAAGGAGGTGTATGAGGCGAGTGTGGAAGGAGGTGTGCATGTGAGGTGCGTGTGGAAGGAGGTGTGCATGGGAGATGCGTGTGGAAGGTGTGCGTGTGAGGTGCGTGTGGAAGGAGGCGTGTGTGAGGGGGTGAGTGTGGAAGGACGTGTGCGTGTGAGGTGCGTGTGGAAAGAGGTGTGCATGGGAGATGCGTGTGGAAGGTGTGCGTGTGAGGTGCGTGTGGAAGGAGGCGNGGATGTGTGCAAGAGGGACGTGGAGTGTGGAAGGAGGCGTGCATGAGGTGCGTGTGGAAGGAGGTGTGCGTGTGAGGCAAGTGTGGAAGGAGGTGTGCAGGTGAGGTGCGTGTGGAAGGAGGTGTGCATGTGAGATGCGTGTGGAAGGAGGTGTGCGTGTGAGGTGCGTGTGGAAGGAGGCATGTGTGAGGGGGTGAGTGTGGAAGGACATGTGCATGTGAGGTGAGTGTGGAAGGAGGCGTGTGTGTGAGGCGAGTGTGGAAAGAGGTGTGCGTGTGAGGCGAGTGTGGAAGGAGGCATGTGTGAGCGGTGAGTGTGGAAGGAGGTGTGCGTGTGAGGCGAGTGTGGAAGGAGGGGTGCATGTGGAAGGAGGTGTGCATGGGAGATGCGTGTGGAAGGTGTGCGTGTGAGGTGCGTGTGGAAGGAGGCGTGTGTGAGGGGGTGAGTGTGGAAGGACGTGTGCGTGAGGTGCGTGTGGAAGGAGGTGTGCGTATGAGGTGCGTGTGGAAGGAGGCATGTGTGAGGGGGTGAGTATGGAAGGAGGTGTGCGTGTGAGGCAAGTGTGGAAGGAGGGGTACATGTGGAAGGAGGTGTA